CTTCTTTTCTTCATTCCCCCCCCCCCCGCTTTTTTGTATTTTTCTGTTTGTATTTTTTGTAGTTTGTATTGACTATTATTCTTTTCATTTATAATTCTTCATAACATTATCTGGAAAAAAAGCAGCAAACTAAATCCTTCTGCATCCAGTTGCTCTCTTGATTTCATCCTATATTCCCCATATTCCTGTTCTAATAACTCTCGATAAGTTAACCATTTCCCTTTACCCGCTTTCTCTTTCCTGTAAAATGCTTCTTGTGCTGAGACCCACAAAGGCATTTTCGGGCACAGTCCAGGGTTACAGCTACTCCATAGGAGACCGAGTGCCACGCTGATCATTGATACACTCACTGTATCCTGCCCTTTGCATTGCAACCCACCTTCCTGTTGCTACAACTGCAAGAGCAATTCTTGCTAAGGGGTACTAGCAAGTGGGGCACGTCTGTTTGCAGCAAGGAATGCGCTGTGTAAGTGTGGGGCTGCCTGGGGTGATCTGTTTGGCCCCTGGAATGGATGCCTGAGTACCCCACCCCCCAGCTCCTGGCCCCACTGTATAGTTCAGGCTGGCTGGGGAATTCTGGGAGTTGAAGTCCACCCGTCTTAAAGCCGTCAAGGTTGAGGAACTCTGGTATAACGGGTATGTGTAGCAGTGGAGGAAGCAATCAAATACCAGAGTGTCATGCCAGGATTTACGCCAGCGTGGCAGACAAGCAAATCAGTCACATTTAAGAGTCTTTTAGTGGTTTTTTAGGGAGGGGAAAAGGATTCTGGGTTTTGTATGTGAAATTGAGTGGATAGGATGAGGCGTTCGCTGACTGGCAGCAGCTGAGCGCTCATTGGCTAAGTTTGACTGTTGGCCAGGCAGGGCACGTTTTGACTGCCTGCTGGTTCTTTGCAATTTCAATACACAGGAGCGCCTGTGGCATTCAGGTGGCACGGACCGTGAGAACCCCCCACTTACTGTATGTGCTGCTCTTTTCTGTTCTGAAGCAGGAGCGAGACTGGAATTGTCAGTTTCACGCATCAAGGCAGAGAAACTGATCTGGTCAGTTGCACAACTGGGTAGAAAATCTGACTTTTGTTTCACCTTGTTGGATGTGTTTTATTACCATGGTATAATCTGAAAACAGAGAAAAATGAAGTGGGCTTTTTTTTTTTAATGCCTTCAGTGCAGAAGCAAAGGATTGTCATGTCACAAAAGCTGTATCTTTCTGCTTGGAAATGTAAACATTGCCGTTTTCAGTGGGGTCTACTCATTACATAACTGAATGTGGAAGTTGAGGGACCAGCTTTCCAGAAAGTAATTAAGGGAAGCTGAGAACGTGTATATTAGGGGAAACCATCAGTGATGCCAAGTGAGAAATGACTCTGCAAGAGAAAATGTCAAGTAAGGGAAAAAAGAAAGAAAGTGTGGTCAGTTGCCATCCACGCTTCACAACGTGCCTTCATCACACCTCCCCGTCCATGCCTGCAATGCATTTGCACAGCTATTCTGCTCTTTCCGTTTCTGCTTATGACCCCATCAAAAGTGGTGCGGCAGAGACATGGCAATCGCCCACGAGAAGGGATATTTTTACAGTGAGCCGAACGAAGGGGCTTGGCCCAAGGAATGGGCTTAACTGATGGTGGGGAGTCATGAACCTTCTACGTGCCGCCTCTCACACAGATGGTTACATGGAACGGCTTGTCTGGGAGCCAAAGATTCTCTTCATTCCACCAGATCTTTCTCACACCCAAGTTCTTGCTATCACCAGACAAAATAATCACAGGTTCTCAGTGCTGCCGCCCACGTTTACGTTGTATCTCTCCTTGGCACCTCCTAGAACCGTACTGGATTTTCCAGTATTCTGGAATTTGGAATTCTGGCCTGGCTCTTTATGGAAATGTGGTTCCCAACTCGCTGTCCCATTTTTCCAAAGCGAACCCCATCTGGGTTCTTTCCAGATGCTTCTGCACATGAGCATCCATGTTTTCAGATTCCCCACTGATGGAATTCCCACTTTAGGTCGAGGATGTGGGTTTTCTGCAGAAATTTCTTTCTGCCCCTGTTTTTGTAAGACGCTGGTTAAATCAAGAAGCCCTCTTTCTGTGCTGGGCATCAGTACATTAGAGCTGAAGTTCAGCCAGACGGCACCAGTTTGGGGAAGAGAGATGCCAATGTATGGCTTGCTGCTGAAATTGTGCTTTGCTGTTCTGAACAAAACATATTTGGGCCTTCTTTACAGGCTTGCTCCCTGGACTCTTGCAAGGACCCTGTCCCAGGGAGCAGTGAGTTCTGGTTTCCCCCAAGCCAGATCTCATGCAATCTGACCCGTTTCCTCTCCTCCTGCTTTCATGGCATGCTACCTACTATTTCTTCATCTGTTTTTGTGTAGCCTTTCCCCCAATCTTCCACTGTGGGAGTACAAGTGATGGTTCTTTGGCTTGAATGCCTTCCCCAACAGGGACAAAGTCACTGCACGTAGACAAGTAGCATGGCAAGGAGATGGCTGAATTTGGATCTTCTCTCTAACAACATAGCCTTCCAAGCATTGAGTTTTTGAACTGGGCCACATCCTCTTCGCCTTAGTCTTGGAAAGACTATCTGCCGTATCCTTTTCCTGTTAGCTCATCCTGTGCCTTGAAGTGAGGAGGGGCTGACGGCGTGCTCACTCGCCCTGTCCTTTTCTCCTACAGAAAATGAAACCCATCGTTCAAAGGAGGCGTTCCACTTCAGCCGCCATCAGCAAAGCACTTAGTAAATCCAAGTATCATTCCAGGTAAGCAACGTGGATCAGAACCCTTTCCTAGAACACGGGCTTTATTGTCCCAGAGCATCTGGGAGGGAACCAGAGCTGGGGGGGGGGCGTTGACAAGGGAAAAGGTGGGCAGAGATATGTCATATGTAGGGCTCTCTTTATCTTGCAATTGGGGGTGAGGAGTTAGGAGCGGGGTGTTTTGTCGGTGAACCATGTTAAGGCTATTTCAGCCAGCCCACCTGAGTTCCGTGCATTTCGTGAGTGTCCTAACTAAAATTCCTGCCGCTTTTGCAGAACAGAAGGCAGGGGGATCCCTAAAGAACATTTGGGGTCAGGATATGTATTCCAGAGGTTCCTGTATTGGGCCTAGAAAGTGGTGGCATCACAAAAAGCCCATGACTACCCCATGGTGGATGTGTGATGATGGGTTTTCTGTTTTCCTCTTTTCTCTTTAATTTATGTTTGAGTGTTTTATGGTTTTTATTGTTACTATGTTTTCTACACTGCCCAGAGTCATGTTTCATGAGATGGCAGCTGTATAGATCTGCTAAATAAACAAATAATAACTTTTCCCCCTCCAAACCAGGGGTATGGATAACATTACAACATGTATATTTTCAGTAGAATGGGAATTGAAAGGGGGAAGTCATTGAGGAAAGAGAATTCCTTCCCACTATAGCTCTGAGCCAATTATGGCTCCGCCTGTGTGCATCCATACCCCTGGCTACCTGCACGATCATTCAATGTTCTTTCAAGAGGCTTTACATCCACACAGTATCTACAACTTGTAGCTGAACTTGATGGGTCTCAAAAAGGCTCAGCATGTTCAGATTGAGTTAATATTTAGATGGGACGCCACCGGGAAATCCTGCACTGCAGTCTAGACTAGTTTAAAAAAAAGTTTAAAAAAAAAAGTCCTCCAGAGAAAGGCAGTAGCAAACTGCTTCTGTGAGGTTGTCAAAAAAAAGATATGGTGTTGCCCTGATGGACGAGGGCTGAGCTTGACTTCCTTAACATCTGCTTGCCCTAAATTAGGACCTTGCAGATATGCCAGGAGATGGAAGCTCCCAGAACCCTCAGCCAACATGCCTGAAGGACCTCAGCTCCCAGAATGCTGGGGATATTGAGAGCGGTACTCTCAGCACATTGAAATGTACCCCAGATGGAACAAGCTCTACAGAGAAAGTTAGAAGAGAAAGTAGAAGGAAGGAAGGAAGACCCTCCCCCCCTGCTCCTTCCGCTTCTTTTCAATCTGTTGCCTGGGATCTGAGAAGCCCACCGCATTAGCCCACGAAAGTGTCTGCCTTTTAGTAAAATGTGTTGGCCTGAAAAATGCTAGCAGACTCCTTCTTAATATTCTTGTAATTCATAAGACCCTTAATGTTCATGGAAAGTTTATGTACTTCATGACACTCTGATGACGTGAGCTGCAGCTCACCAAAACCTTTGCCTCACAATAAAATGTGTTAGCTGGAAAAGTTGCGGTAGACTCCTTCCATAGGCTAACACCACTCTCCTCCTTCACTGAACAACACTGAAGGTGACCTGCATTTTATGGATATCTCTATGTACTTGGAACATTCATTCTGATGTATCTTACATTTTACATCAAAGAGAATCAGGACACCTCGTTAAAACTATGACAATTATTTGGCCACATGAGATCAGTTTAGAAGACAGCTTGTTACCAGCAGAGGAGGACTAAAAACGGTCTTGGCTAATTTCAGTCTCCAAGGTTAGTGGCAGTATTTTAGAGAAGGTTGTTTTTTTAAAGAGTAGTTACTAGACAAAGTACAGGTCAGATTTTCCTATTACTTCCAGTTCTCATTAAAAAAAAGAAAAAAGAAAGAAATAGCTGGGTTGCAGGGCCTGAAAAGAATTGGATTGATTTAGCCAGGCAGATTGAACTGTAGATTAAATGCCTTGCTCCTTTTGCACTGGTGGAGTGGATAGAAGCAAGCAAGTATCCGGATTCATGGAGGGCCATTGAATGGACCACAGTGACCTTTCCCCTCAAATTCTTAGTAAAATCCAGGTCATCTTCCAAGTCATGTTGAAAATAGAATACATTTCGAAGAAAGAGAGCCAACGGAAGATGCGGTCCATGGAATACACACACAGAGAGAGGAAATAGAAGTGGTCTGCCCTTCCTCTGCGTTGACTTAGAAACATGAGGCATTTCCTCTCTGGGTCAGAATGTGCATTGATCCTATTCAAATGGCTCCTAGAAGTATGAATCACTTCCTCTTCCTCTCTCGTTGTTCTGTTGACATCTCAAGCAGCCCCCCAAATTGCAATCCGCACCATATTTATTACTGTACAGTCCTACAAAGGTCACTAGAACAGCTCTGAAGGAAGAGGCGTACCCCACTGTTTTGGGTGTGCTTCTTCCTCTGAAATTCTTTAGATATTTTCATGGTGGCTGGAACGTCAATGTCTGACTATTGTTCTAATATGAACATGCCTTTAGTCAATGCCATTTTGACATGTGCATTAAAAAGAGATGGAAGCAAGATTGGCCCGATATTTCATGTGTGAAAATATCCTCCACTAAGATTTTTTTTTTTTCAAAATGTGACAGGAAATAGGGGATGGAACCATTACTGTTTAATTTGTTTCCTCACCAGTAATAGAAGAAAGATCAATGTAAAAAATCAGGGAAGAAAGAATATCATATATCATCCAGCTGTTGATCTCTGTCTGGGTTGGCTAGATCTTAATACACAAATAAAGATGTGTAGGCATGGAAAATTATTCCTAAAACTTGGTTTCCTTTAGGTCTTAACTAAGTCTTTGACCCTAAAACAACTCTCATTAAAATCTTTTTCCAGGCAGCTGAAGTGAAAATGTTGTTGCTGGAGTCCATGTAGGATATATGGAATATGAAATAAAATTATAGTTTTATTGAATGAAAATATAACCACCCCATTCTGTGGGTTAGAAATTCAGCAGGAGTCCTTGGTCTGGACAGTGCCTTAAATAAATCATGGATGGTGATGTCCATGGTTCCCTGGCTGGGCCTGCTTGAAGAGGAGTCGGCGGGTTCGTCAATAAGCCATAATTTGGTTTTGTGAGTTAAATGAACTGCTGCCCCCTTCATAAAATCACTGGGTTTGCCAGTTATGGTGTGGGTGTGTTAGCTGGAATTTTCCCCAGGTTGCCAAAACCTGTTGGGTGAGGGGGGAATTCTGTTAGTAAAGCCAGAGCAAATGTTCATGTGTTGATCTCAGTTGTCTACACACACACACACACCAATTCACACATAGCACATGTGCATTCTGTGCTAGTTTGAAAGCACTCTGGACTACTCCAACCCTACACTGCCAGCTGAGCCAATGTATTTCCAGCTCAGCTGCTATTATTTCAATGGGCTTTACAATGGTGAGCTCCAAGAAAGCTCCCTTTCCCATTGACAGGATCACTGGCCTCACTCTGCTTCCCAATAACTGAGCTTAAGGCAACGGTTATTTTCTCCACCCCCAGCCCCAAATTCAGCTTGAAACATATATCCAGGGAACCTTTTAACATCTCAAGGCTTGTAGAAGTGAAGACAATCCTGTTTCGTCTTCAAGCTGCATTTGAAGGATTGCAGAGTGCAAGCTGCGAAAGAGTTGTCATGTCCACAACTACTCCATGGGAGTCATACTTTACATTCCTGCAATCTTGTAGTCCCACCAAGATGGCAACCAGCTTTTATTGTCAGACTATGCAGCGTCTTTCAGATGTTATACCAGCACTGAGTCATTATGGGGAACCTAGAACCAATCCAAAGTTAAGATACCCCAACAGCATAAACGTTATCACAGGATTGCATCTTAATGTCAATTGTGCAGCTACAATGACTGTCATGGCTGTCTAGCAGGGTTAGCCTTGGATAGGTGAAGGCAGCTGGCGGAGTCAGTAGAAAGTGGGACATTCTGATTAAAAATCAGCCCATTTGGCAAAGAGAAAAGCTGAAATCCTACAACTAAGTGCCTGATGGCATGTATGGTCATACTTCTTTCGTAGACGGTGATATGTCTTTGTAGTTTAATATTGGATTTGTCCTGATCCATGGAGGCTTTCTGGTTTCTCTGAGTTTGGCAAGAAGACAACCTCAGTCCCTGCTGCCTTTTGAATTTCGCAGTAGAACCCTCCACGCCCAGTTCATTTTCTCTTCCAACGAGGAATAACCATCGCATCATTCAGAGATTTCCCTTCTAGCCCACAAAAAGATGATGGATAAACAAAGATCATACACTTATAGTGGCTGTTTCCAAGAATGCCCTCATAAATAATCTTTCCTGACAGTATTTTACTGAAATAAATATCGCTTTAAGCCCAAGATAAAAGCCTAGATGAGTTACACTTAGAACCAAACAATCTTTTAGGAGCATTTTTCATTTCAGGCTATACTTAGCACCCCTGGTTTGGGGAGATAATTTGCGCAGGTTCCAGGGCTCTTAAAGGCATTCTCGAATTGCCAACTGTGGAAAAAAAGTATTTTGCTTTCATGGCTTGCCCCTAATTCCTCAAGCAGGAGAAACAAACCCTTCGCTTTCTTTAGATGCTCCTCAAAGACTCAGGGAGGGAAAAGGTGACTCATGGAGTCTCGTGGTTGGTTGGTTTAGCTGGCTTCTCTTCAGCCCTTCGAGGTAGGCCAGGCCAAGAAACAGGCACTGCAGGGAGTCCAGCAATGCTGTTTCTTGTTGTGGGGTATTGTAGCAGAACCTGGAAGCCCATCCAAGTTTCTCCCCACAGTCAAGGTGGGGCTACTTTGAGGTTCTTTCGCACACTTTCCTCTTTCTGAGGACTGAGTAATCTTTTCTCAAAGTCCCCCTTGCTCATTCCTTCCCTATTCCCAAGGTCAGTTCTATATTCTTTTACTCCTTGCAGTAGGTTCACCCCCCCCCCAAAAAAAAACCAGGGGAAAACAGTGACTACAGCAGCTCTTTCCAGCCCTTGACCTTCAACTCGCAGAGTTCCCAGCCAAGCTGTGTTGTCCAAGGAACTGTCGGGGTTGATAGTCAGTGCAACTGAGGGCCCGTACTGGAGAAAGCTGAACTCCATTGAATACATCTGGCCTCCAAACTTCAGTACCGAGGCAAAGAACCGTGGTGCTGGTGGCGTTGAATTTCCCCTCCAGCATTGTATTTTGGCTTCATCTCCTCTGTTCTGGTGATGTGCGTTTGGCTTTGTGTGGTTAAGCAGAGGCAGATCTTAGCTTTGGAACTTCATGGAGATTTCATAGAGAGGGAAGGGAGGGACAAGAAAGGATCATGAAGGACCAAGCGGATTCAGGCAGCTTTATTCAAACCAATGCACTCCAGTTACAAATTGTGCTACAATTCCCTTAATTCCCAACCAACAAGGCTCTCAGAAGGCTCCAGATTGGGCCAATCTAAAGATTCCTTGGAAACAATTGTGATTTGTGGAAAGGATTTGGGGGACAGAGAGGGGGAAAGAGGAAAGGAAAATTATGGTACCTGCCAAGATTATGCCACCAATATTTTGGTAGCAAAATGTCAAACAGTAGTGATGCATTTTTCTAGAGACTGAGAACAAAAGAAGTAACAGCTGTATTCAATATCCAATAATTTGAACATAATATTTTAGTTTTTTTAAAAAAAATATCCCCAAATTGTTGCATACACAGAGGCTGTTCGCTCTGGAAAAATAGATGATTGCTTGATGTCATAAAGATTACGCACTTTACCTGTATTCCCGAAGGAGGTATTGAGGTTTTGTTTTTAACCTGTATCCCACTCCCATGTCACTGTGAGTTGGGTGGCCTTATAAATCTAAATTATAAGCAGAAATAAATAAATAAAGCGTTGTGGATGACATGACATACATATCCAGAAGAAGCCATAAGGTTGTCATGCATATCATGACACACGTCACTTGCCACTATATAGCCCCCCCCCCAAACTCCCCATGCAACAAGAGGAGGAATGGGCAAATGAACTGAAGAGATGGGAAAGTGAAGGGCAGGTGTGGAGGAAGAATAGAAACATCTGCGTGGTTCAGTGAGGCTTAATTAGGCAGTTGTAGTCAGAGGAAAGTTCTTAATATTTCACTGAAAAAATTGTATTCACTGAAAAGTGGACTTACTATAAAAATAATACACTTCTGGCCTTTGCTTAGAGCAAAATGAATAAAATGTGCTTTCCTGGAAGGTGACAGTAGTTAGCTAAGTGCAAGAGTAATAACATAATCACGATTCATTTCCTGCTCTGTTTTCCAGCAGGGAAATTATTTTGTCATCCTCCCATCAAGATAATGGATTACCAGCTGGAGCCTTTAGTAACCCAGATTCCATCTTCATCTTGGATGAGCGTGTACAACTTACTCTGGGCTTACAAACCCAAGAGAGGCATTTGTTCCTCTTCAGCAACATGCTAATCATTGCCAAATCCAAGTAAGTGGGAGTGCAGGTTTGATCCACGAGCTAATTCTCTTTGCTATTAGCAAATGTTGGGTTCACACAACAGATGAAAACCAAAGCAAACACATCAAATTATGCCTGCCTTCTAATTTGTAAGCACAGCTTAAGGCAACTGAGTTGTAGAAATCTAGCCAATTATGGTTTATTCCAGAAAGAAAATCATGGCACAGCACTCTGAACCCTACCTCTGGGTGTGAGCTGCTTCGTGGGCATGCCAGTTTACATGAGTGTGTGTGTCAGTGACTCAGTTGAAGAGTTCCTGGCTGTGATGCAGAAGGAGACAGATCAGGGATGCTAGCTATAATTTCTGAGTAGTACGGATTTTCTCCCTGCGAATATGCTTAACAAAAGTCTCTCCGGCTTGGCATGCAGGTCCTCTTCTAGCTTGAAACTGAAGAAAAAGGTCCACCTGAGTGAAGTATGGACAGGATCTTGCCTTAGTGAAGTGTCAGAGAAGAAAATGAGCCCAGACACATCTTTTGTGATTGGCTGGCCAACTATAAATTATGTCATCACTTTCAGGTAACGTGCATAAACCATCTCTTTGAAGGGGGTCACCATGGCAGGAGATGAACTGAATCGGTCTGCTCTGCCCTCAGAAACAAATAGGGCCTTTCCTGATTATGGCAAGGGCAGAGTTGCCACTGAGGCGAGGAGGGAAATGGGGAGGAAAGGGGGCATTCCATCCACCCCGTCCTCACCCAAACAACTCTGAACCCAAGAAGGGGTGCTTTGCCATGTAGGTAAGCAGAAGCAAGTTCCAAGGTAACTGAGAGACAAGAGCTAAAAATTCATGGCAGCTCCTTCTGGCAGCCACCCTCAACAGTTGTACCCGCCAAATGGATTAGATTGTGACACTGTTCACCCTCATTGTATTATCAAATAATAGGGGTCCAACATCCCTGGAGAGCACAGAGTTGGGGATCACAAGGGCTGCTCTTTTCCTGATTGTTTATGCTTCATTGAGAGGCCCAAAGAGAACTTCAACAACCAAACAGTGTTTGATGGTCTTAACAAATCTTTCCTTAAAACTCCTAATGCAGTTCCCCTGGAGAGGACTATATAAAGCTCAGATCGAAGGGCAACACGGAGATTTTTCACTCACCCCTTCTGCCCAAGAAATCTGGCTAACAAAAAGTTCATGGATTATTTATCACATACAGTATATTTCCCACTGTCTCACAAAACAACTTACGATCAATCAATTAGGAATTGTGGCAGTAAAGAAATATAGATTAAAAGCCCCATATTAAGATTAAGTTGAAATTATAAAATTATGATGCACTGGTATTAGGCTAAAACAACCTAATTATGGGTTAACTTCTTTTGAAATCCCTCAGATCTTTCATTGGGCTAGAGTCCTGCAAACTCAACTTTATTTATTTTTTATTATTGAGAAGAAGAAGAAAAAACCACATAGAAAGTGCTTTGACGAAAAAGTGAAAGATAACAAAGAAAAAAACATGTTAATATGTCATCATAACAGTAAACAATTGAAATTCTATATATACTTATCTAATGCAAATATTATTCAAGTACATATATACTGCTAATACATTTATATAACTATAATCATTTTTTTTAACCTACTGTATTTTGTATAAATGAGTCCCATATTTCGTTATACTTGTGCATACAAAGTCTACATCTGTAGGCAATCCGCTCGTAAGTAGCAAGTGCAGTCAGGTCTTCAGTCCATTGACTAAATGGGGCCAGACATTTATCTTTCCAATGCTGCCATATCAGTCTTTTGGCCACAGTAAGGGCATGGAGAATCCATTGACGTCCGGTTGTCAAGTTCCATGTACTAAGTATATAGTTCAGAAGAATATTATCCTCTGAAAATGTTAGCTTTTGTCACACAATCACATTTATATAGTCCATTACTTTCTCCCAAAACTTGGTAAGTATAGGACATCATAGAAACATATTATTTAAAGAAGCATTGTCCTTATTGCATCTCCAAAAAAATGCTGTTTTTGTTCCCCAAATTCAACTTTAAGTGACATTTTAATCTACATTTTTATTGAAGATTCTGATAGATATTATGCCTTTTCAGCCGGTGGCCTTTTCAATGAGTTAATTGTGTTTATTCAACACAAATTGATGACATAAATGCAGAAGGAATTTGTACCCTGCAAAGATTCCTTCTTGCACTAACTGGACTGGGTGAGTGTCTCCCCCATGAGCAGAGTTCAGAAAAGCAACCCGCTGCGGCCGTGAGGGGCTCTTCGCTCCAGAGTCTGCAAACCAGGCGTGCCGCTTCCTGCTCCCACCCTGCGCCCTGTGCGGGGCACTGACTTGGCAGTGAAGGGTCATCGCAGGCGGGAGTCTCAGGTCAGCAGTTTTGCAGCCGCTGAGCTTGGAGGACCCTTGGATCCAAACATTAAGTCTCTGACCTTTTGCTTTTGCAGCAACATCTGTTTATACGAAGCTTGAAATGGGCACCATTTCCCTCACGTCACTGAGGTTGACTGCCAGGGAAACGGCTTCTAGGAATTGTGAAACAGAGGAAAAGAGGGGAAAGATATTGAGTAAAGGTTAAAGCCTGACTTTGAATCTGCCTCAGAACTGAGCTTTTCCATCCTAATCAGAGCCACCCTCCGCCAGGCCAGGAAACTGAGCTCAGCCAGACCACGTGTCCAGGGATGTGTGTGCAAAGGAGATAGAGCAACAGTCACTAAAATAGAACAGATCCTGAATAGGCAGTGCCAAAGGAATCGTGGTGGATAATTAAGCACGAAAGTTCACCTTTTTTTCCTAGCTGAGATCTGCGCTTGATTGTGGGGGACACACTGGGGGCCGGATGGTCAATGCATGTTAAATACATGTGTATGCCATATATCCCCTTACAATTACAGTATGTCTGTATGCCCACACATGTGCTCAGACACACACTTTGCTCTCACCTCTTTAAAACCTCACCATTAAAACGTATTGCTCCACAATCCCTCTTTACGAGCAGTTGATTCCCCCTTGCAAAATCCTTCCTTCAATAAATGTTGCTCATCCTGTCTGTACATCAGCTTGAACTTTATGGCCAATGCCTGGTTAATTGAAATGAGCACAAAGTCCTCCAACTGTTGAAGTCTGCTGGTGGCATCTGCTGGTGGACGCTCTGCACCCACCTATGGAAGCCTTCAAGAACAGAAGTTAGATGCCAGGAAGGAAGCAGGGCCTCTGAAGTGGCAGAAATAGAATTGGGAGCCATAACACACCTAAGGCTTTGGGTACCTGCAGATCGTTCTCTTTGATGTAGTACAGTTGACAAAAGCTGTGTGATATTGCCCTACCTCAATGCTTTTCTGCTTCTTTCCAGCTCTTCTGAAGTGAAGGAAAGATGGCTATCCATGCTGCTCTGGTATGAAATGCATTCCTCCTCCTTTTCTGCTGTATATTATTGTATCCCGGTCTAGGCAGGAATGCCCTGTCAGCGGTCCAAGAATCAGAGTTTGGAGGCAGGAGCAGCAGATTCCATGCCTGTATTTGTGCCATTTGGGCTCCCTCTTTCAGCAGTCTAGAGTGAAAATGACACCAAGACTGTGAAAGTGGAGAACTCTAGCTTCATCTTAAGACATACTTGTTACTTCCACCCCACCCAAGTCGTGGCTGTCACCATCTCAGTCCATTCTGGGCATCCATGAAGTAGAACAACACTATTGTGCTAATCCTCATCTTCACCTAATGGAATCCCAGTAGAATATCTGTGGGAGTTCCAGAGTTCCCCAGCCAGAATGGCAGAATTCCTAGGAGGATCTTAAATACTGTAGCTTTCTCCACTCACCTTAACACAATTATACTCCGTAACGCAACATTTTCGAACTCACAATCAATATTTGAATTGCAGGCACATCTATGAAATGAAGCAGACTGAGTACCCCAAAACTCTGCCTATGCAGATTTTGGTGATGGACAGAGAGAACAGCTCTTCTGTGAGTAATAATTAAAACATTATTATTGTTGTTGTTGTTGTTGTTATTATTATTATTATTATTATTATTATTATTAAAAAGAGAAAGAAAAACTGCAACAAAAACTAAGGAAAGGGGGGAATCCAGGCCCCCAAAATAATATCAGTAAGTGAAGAATTTCTTCCAGCCAAAATTCAATTGCCTTTCCATCATTAAAGGGTGTAAAGCATATTTGGAAAATTGGGGAGTGGAAGTTTCAGTTCAGTCCCTGCTTCCATGCAAAATGACACTTTAGGATCGCAGGTAAATGTATGGAGCTTGTTTTGTTTGTTCGTTTACGTACCTGGGCAGAAGAAAGATGTTAATACTCTAAACCAGGTTTTTGTTAATAACATTTTCAAAATTATTTTACTACTGCAAGAAGAATTTGGATTATTCTGACGTCACATTGTCCTTGTGAGAAACCTGTACACAGGAAAGGAAGCCACAGTCCAGTCACAACGTGGGGAAACAGACTGGTTCCAGGTTGGTAAAGGAATGAGACCAGGATGTATACTTCCCCCTTATTTATATGTTGAATATATACTGTATTGAGGGAAGCTGGATTGGAAGAAGATGAGCCTGGTTTTAAAACTGGATGAAGAAACACCAGCAACCTGCACTATGCTGATGACGCTACCTTAATAGCTGAAAATGCAAAGGATCTTCTAGTAATACAAGTCAAGGAGCACAATGAAAGAATGGGACTAAGATTAAATATAAAGAAGACCAAACTAATGGCAACATGTACAGCAATCAGCCTTAGAACTGACAATGAAGTTATTAAAGTCATGGATCACTTTTGACTTTTAGGATCAACTATCAACAGTAAAGGAACCAGCAGTCAAGAAATATGCCACAGACTAGCACTTGGTATGCGGCCAGAAAGCCTTGGAGAAGAAATTCAGAGGCTATGACGTCTCCATACCTACAAAGATCAGAATTGTGCAAGCAATGGTATTCCCTGTGATGCTCTATGGAAGTGAAGGTTGGACTTTGAAGAAGCAGGATAGGAAGAGCATTTATGCTTTTGAATGTTGGTGTTGGAAAAGACTCCTGAGAATACTGTGGATAGCCAAGGAAACAAACACATGGATCATCGAACAAATCAACCCAGATTTCACACTCAAGGCACAAATAACCAGGCTCAAACTATCCCACTTCGGACACATTAGGCAAAGACTTGGCTTTCTGGAGAAGGCCATAATGCTGGGAAAGGTGAAAGGAAAGAGGAAAGAGGACAATCAATAGTCAGGTGGATGGAGTCGATTATAGTGGCAATGGGTACACCATTGGAAGACCTGAAGAGCCACACTGGGGATAAATCACCCTGGAGTAGGTCTGTCTATGTAGTTGCAAGAGTCAGCACATAATCATTGATGGCACATAATCATTCATTCATTCAATCAATCAATCAATCAACATTTCAGAATGGCAATATATTCATATTAAAATCTTAATAAAATATTAAAATCTGATTTCTCAATTTGGATCTGATATGTTAGCAGTTTCTGAAGCTTCCAAATTGCATATTTGGAAGAGTCTAAAGCTACTGTTTATTGCTATAGAAAGCCAAGGGGTATCATTAAGATGGATATTGGTAATTTGCAAGACCCTTGGAATTCAGAGCTAGGATATCCTAGTGTGACAAATTAATGATCTTAAATGTTAAAGAACATTATGGTAAATATGTTTCTTTTGATGATATTAATTCATTAAAATATTCTTTTTCAGAAAGGAATAGGTATTATTAAGATGTATATTTGTTTTATTTAGAACACCACACTAAGCATCTCCAACATGGAAACGGCTGACAGTGTTATCAAAAAGGCCACAGAACAGCTGGGGGTTCCTGTAAGTATAAGTGTGGTATCCTGTCAAAAATGGTTCAGTGATATTGGTAGGGGGAGGAATGACTCACATTCTTCCCTAGAGAGAGACCACAGATCCAACTGTCTAACTGGATATGTCCGTTCAGGCTCATGCTTAGCCTAAGGAGCAAGTCAACAGAACTAGAGAAAGTATTAAAGGATCGTCACTAAAATCCTCTTTGCAAAATCCCTAGGCATTGGGTACTTCACAAAGGAAGAAACGGTTGTCCCAGATAGGTTGTCCCCCAACATCGTATGTCATGTTATGCACAAGTATTGTCCTGTGTTGCCATCTTTGGGAAGGCGTTAAGTGGCCTGGCCAGGCCTAGCCAATGGCAGGTTAAAATGTTCTGTTTAAGTACACCTGGGATGTCCTTTTCTTGAGAGTTCCATGGTAGGGAACGATCATAGAGTGTCTAGTCATGCCAACAGGTGAGATATTCACATGTCCGAACGCAGCACTGGTGTGCAGTAGTGCCCTCATAGGAATCTAGGCTGTATTACTCATAGATCAGCATAACCCAGATGCAGAGTCAATGAGATGATTCCTGCTGGGAAGATCAGTAAGAGCAGATCAGCCTCCCCAAAAAGCCGGCTGGACTTGTTCCAAATTGTCCTATTCACAGCTATGAGAATGGAGTTGCAAACTGTATTTATTTTATGATTGTTTGTGAGCATTGGTGCTGGGCTATAGCATTTTGAGGGTGTGTGTGTGTGTGTGTGTGTGTAAAATTAAAGAGATGTTCAGTGACCCAGTTGTGTTCACTCTTCGATCCATTTGCATAAATGATGTGAATTGTAGTGCAATACATCTGGTAGGTGCCAGATTGGGGGGAGCAGCCTCAGAGTTTTTGTTTGGACTAGGATATTACTGACTGCTTTTCTTGCCCTCTCCTGAACTTTTCCCTTCCTTCCAAGGTCAGCACTATGTTGTTTTCCATGAGATTTATAGTCCTGGGTTTCCTGATTCCCTCTCTCCTTCCATGCCTGGCCTGTTTATACTTCTTTCTATTGTTTTACATTCTCTCTCCAGTTGCTCTCATCTCTTTCCACAACATAATCTTCACTTTCTATCTTTCCATTCACAGGGTAGACCAAGTGACTATCACCTCTGGGTAATTTCAGGAAGGGACAATCCTGCATACCCTCTTATTGGTAAGAACTCTTCCTTTCTTGAATGAAGATGGAAGCATGGAGAAAATGTGCAACTTCAGCTGGCTTTGGTGGGTCACCTTAGCTGAGCTGGGGTGGATTTACCTAAATCTACAAGGCTTTCAAAAGTTCTTATCTGTATTCTTCCAGCCAAGAAGCCTTCTTGTTACTGCACCTCAAGACCACACACACACACACACACACACACACACACACACACACACAAAAGTACTATTGCTTACAGATAAGGGGCAGGGAATATATGGCCCTTCAAATGTTTTTGAACCACCTCCTATCAATCCCAGCCAGAGAGATGATGGTAGTGGTAGTATAACAACACCTGGAGCGCCATCATTTCTCTATGTATCTAGCGCAGCCTTGAGCCTTAGCTCTAGATTGACGGCTAGGTGGGAACAAGCCCCAAAGCTTTTCCTGTTGAAATGGAGGACAGGCCAAGAGGGAAATGACCTGTTCAATAGGATTCTTTCTCGGAATTCCTGAAGGCTCTTTCATAGCTGCCAAAGGGCTATAGTTGAGACAATGACCTCTGGAGCCGAGACAAGTGAGGAGACCTCTATTGTCAAAAAAAGCAGTGCCGTCTCTAGGGACTGAGCTGGGCCTTTCCCTTCAAAGCAGTCGCCGTGGTGCAGCCAGCCAATGAAATCTAAGCCAAGTTCCTTTTGTTTTTGCTAGTACACAGCCAGTATTTCCCAGTGTGGCTCTTCTTGAGATTACATCTTCAGGTTCAAGGGATGAAATAACTTTACATTCCCTCACCAGACCCCCACCAGATGTAGAATGGCTTGCTGAAGGGGTAACAAATCTCAGACTTGGACTACTTCAGGTTGAAACTTATGTGACCAAATCCTTTTCCATACCAACCATATGGAATTGGGTGAATTCTCTCCAGCCACACTCAGGCATTTTAAAAAGTGATGGTAGGAGCTGAGCACCTTCTAAAGGTCCAGCTGATCCCCATGTGTTCAGCACAGTTGTCTGCAACAGGAGTCCTTGCAAGAGAGTTGTGGATCCAAAGAGAGTTGCATGAACTGGAACTCAGATAGTGCAGGTTTGGGGATGGCGTGGAAGCCTGTAGATATGGCTGTACACAGGAAGGGCAGTTACCTTCTGGTGGGTGGCTGCACTGTCTTTATGCAACAAGATCTTCACAGCCATCCTTGGCCACCATGAGTTTGCAGAGGAGAAGAGCTGCCTGAATGGGGTTCCCAGGTATTCTCTTCATCGGCACAGGCAAATGTGGGAGAGTCATTCTGCTGTATGTGGGTCCTAACTGTTATCTGTTGTGCAATGAGAACTAAACCCCAGGAGTGTCCTTGAAGGGGTGGGGGTTAAAAAAAAACCAAAGCAAAATTCAGGACGGTGGCCATGACTGCACAGTCAGCCCCCTGCCCCTTTTTTAGATGCTTCACCCCTGCTGAGCCCTATTTTCCAGTTAGGCAAAAGAAGCCCATCACCACCCATTGAGACCACTACAGCCCAGGAAAGCCAGAGGGATGTCTGTCCTAAAGCAAAGACGAGCATTATGCGCTCCCTTAGTCAGTCAGGGACATTAAGGGTAAACATTGTGTTCTTGAATCAGCAACTCTTGTTTAAAAGAGGGAGGAATATTTCATTTCTTTTTGGTTTGTTTGTTTAAATGTTGCGATATCACTCCCATTTTGTGGCTGTAAGTGGCCTACAAACATTCACATACAATAAAATCTAAGCCAGCAAGTTGTTGAATCCCAGCAATAACAACATTTAAAATATCACTAAAAACTCAAAAAAGGCCCAGATTAAGAGAAATATTCTATGCTCTGTCTCCTAAATTGAAACAAGAAAGGGGCCAGTGCCATGACAGATTATTCCATCATCCAGGCCATCATGGGGGAGAACTGATAAAAAATATGGGTGACTGCTGGGGAAGGGGGGAAAAAGAGGGACACAGTATGTTGTCACACGTGCCATGACATTATTGCAAATCACATAATTTGCCTCATTTGCACAATTACTTAATGATGCATGTGATATCATCATGGCTTCTACTGAACCTCTGTGGGTGGGACCTGCAGAAGATGCCCATTTAATGCTTAAGAGTATGGGTCAGTCACCCTATGTAGGAGCTGGTGATTCTGTAGGGAACTCAGGTCCAGACTGTGTAAGACTCTCTACACCTAGCAAAATCCTTAACTGGGGCCTGGAGGCAGCCACAAACTGAAGCTGTTTCTACATCGCTACCAGTGCCTTCAGTCAGTAGTCTAGGGGAAGAATATCTCCCTTGCAGCCAGGAAGCTTTTGCTGGGGGCAAAATAGTCCAGAGAGAAGCAACATAGACACTTAGCTTCTCTCTCAAAGGCAAAGGGGCCACATTGCTACTTCAAGGGGATGCTTCACTTGAAGCCTGAGAAGGAACATTGACTTGATCTTCCCCTACTCTCCTTTTCCAACCTTTTTTTTTTTTTTTAAATCATTTCAGTTCTGTGCAAAAGACAGGGGGAAAAAACAGCCCTTTTTTTGGTCTTGAACTGGACTACAAAAGGCAGTCAACCACTAGATGGCAGCAGAGAGGTTACTGTGTTCTTCACTGACACCTAGAGGGCACCTAGAATTTTGCAGTCCATCTCTAATAGCCCTACTTTTTGCATGGACCAAAGAACTTCCAAACTTCATGGCCCTAAGTTGGCCTGATTTTAAAGTACTGACATCTACAACTGTGGAGGGAACTTTAATCATTGAGGTCACCCATCATTGCTATCGGTAACTCAAACATTCCATGTGTGAAGTATTCCTTTGTTTTTGAAAATGAGGCTTTGTGGTCCAAGATTGCTTCATGTATGAATCATGTTCTTGTTTGTTTGCTTATTCTGCTACAGAATTTTGGCTTACATTTAAAGGAATTGGGGGGTGGAGGTGGGGGGGAAGATGTTAGACTCAGTTAAAAGGCCCATCCCACCCCCTTGGCTAAAACAAATGGGGTTGTGATTCAGAATTTTCTCTGCATGATTTTGGAAACAACCAAAGGGAAATAAAATCAACACAGTAAGATATTCTGCTCTAATGCCAAAAAATAAAAGAAAAAAAAAGATCCCTGTCCTTTTTTATCATGGATCTATGAATTAAGTTGAAATGGACATGACATGATGAAAGTATCATAGGGAAGTGCAATTCTGGTTCTTTGTTGTGGTTCAAGAAATCCTGGCTGTTTGGAAATTTGGTTAAGATGACTTTTTTCTCCATACTTTTCAGCAGAACCAAAACCTCCCCTGAGTATCTATTGGACTGTGCGAGATGTAATTGCTTTTAATTTAACTTTTGGGTTGTCTGAGTTCACAGCTTCCTTTCTCACTGTTGCTTCTTCTCCCTAATCAAAATCTCCTTTTTCATCAATAACCGTGCTATATCTGCATATACTGTAGATTAATTAACCATATTTAGATTCAAATTCAAATTCAGTTTAAAAAGTTGGTTTGAAATGCATGTCTGTGCTATGTCATGGCTTGTTAAACAATCATTTATTGAAGCTACAATTGTCTAGGTTCATACAACCTAACTAAGGCATAATCCACATTTACAAAATACAATAGCTGACATTATACAACACACTAAACCAAACCAAACCAATCCCATTATTGTTTAACACAATGTTCATCAGCACCAAAAAGTTTGAACACACCTGGTTTGAAATTGTTTACACATCAGACTCCAGTCTATTTCAGCTGATTGATTGATTGACTGACTAACTGATTGCATTTTTCCCTGCTCTTCAGCAGAGAAGACTCCCAGAAATTATGGTCTTGTCCCAAACCTTTTAAGGCCAGAAAGTCCATTTCGAATTTTGCAGTTATGCAAAGGGGACCCTCACCAAACAGCTGCAGTGGTGGGTGTGGCCAATCACAAAATATCCACTTAGTAGAAGTCAATCAAAGCTCAGGACTGCAGCTGCTCCGCCCACATTTTGTTTTCTAAGGTAGCCTTTGGGGTCCATGTGGGATCCTGAGAGGAAGCTGGAAGTCTTTGGTTTGGATTGTTGGTTATGCTTGAGGTTGGTGATTTGTTCTGCAGCGTGCAAGTTTCCCTTTCGTTCTTTCTAAGCTAATGGAAATTTATGTGCATGCCATATACCCACCACGCAGAAAAGGAATAAAAAGTAGTAAACCGAGGAAATTAAAGAGATGAGTTTAGGAGAAAAAAGTCTGGTTAATACCAACCTTAATCTCCTACTTCTCCAAACCTTTCTGCCTTTACAAACCATCGGTGATTCCATCATATCCAGACACTGCTCCATACGTTGCCTTTTGATTCTTTTGATTTTTCTCTCTTTTTCAGGACCTCACCAACACCATCCAGCCATGGCTTTTGCCATCTTCCCCTTCCTCTCAACAATTCAATACATTTTGGTTTTGTGATCCATTCTCTCTATATGACTAAATCACCTCAATGGATTTCTTTCAAACTGGGGTGTTCAATCCACAATCATTCAGCATTTATTCATTGCTGACCGTGTCCCATTTTAACCCATACATTTCTTAAGTACCCTGTTCCTGCTGCATATGCAATACAGATAGTCCTCGACTTAGGGCCACAACTGGGACTGGAGCTTCTATCACCAAGTGATACAATCATTAAGTGAGTTGCACCCAATTTTACGACCTTTTTGGTGCAGTTGTTAAGTGAATCATGTGGTCATTAAGTGAACCACGTGGTTCCCCATTGATTTTGCTTGTTGGAAGCTGGCTGGGAAGGTTGCAAATGGCAATCACGTGACCCTGGGTTGCTGCAACCATTGTAAATACATGCCAGTTGCCAAGTATCTGAATTTTGATCATGTGGCCATGGGGACACTATGACAGTCATAAGTGCAAGGACTGGTCGTAAGTCACTTTACAATGCTGTCATAACTTCGAATGGTCGTGAAACAAATGGTTATAATTCGAGGACTAGCTGTATTTTCATTTCTTTCAACAAACATTCCTTTCTCACAACAGGCTACCTATTTCCTTTCTACCAGTGTTTGCACTTTTTGAAATTTCTCTGACCATTTATCCCATCTTTAGTAAATATTATACTGGGGTAGACAAAATAATCTTTATGTTCCAATTTTTCACAATTTGTGTATGATTTTAATCATTCGCACCATTTCCCCTGTCAAACACAAATATTTGTTCTTTAATGCATTAATTTTCAGGCCCACACTCCTTGTTGCAACATTATTATTATTATTATTATTATTATTATTATTATTATTATTACTACTACTACTACTACTACTACTACTTTTAAGTCAGTGTTGACTCTTGGTGACTGCCTGGACAAGTCCCTGCAGTTTTCTTGGCAAGGTTTTTCAGAAGTGGTTACTACTACTACTACTACTACTTTTAAGTCAGTGTTGACTCTTGGTGACTGCCTGGACAAGTCCCTGCAGTTTTCTTGGCAAGGTTTTTCAGAAGTGGTTACTACTACTACTACTACTACTTTTAAGTCAGTGTTGACTCTTGGTGACTGCCTGGACAAGTCCCTGCAGTTTTCTTGGCAAGGTTTTTCAGAAGTGGTTTGCCATGGCCTTCTTCTTCCTGGGGCTGAGACCAAGTGACTGGCCCATGGTCACCAAGCTGGCTTCGTGCCTAAGGCAGGACTAGAACTCACAGTCTCCCGGTTTCTAGCCTGGTACCTTAACCACTACATCAAACTGGCTCTCTGTTGCATCATATAATCTATTTAATATTTGCTGCAAATCATGAATTCTGAGTCAGCAACAACATGGTACAATCTTCATATAAAAGTATACACACATTCATATCGCCAACTGACACGAGCTCCACTGCAAGTCTTTATCTTATTCCCAAATGTTATATGACAGCTGCAACATAAAACATTAGATGACATCACGCTCTTTAATCTTTACTCCTCTGACATTTCAATTTCTAAATCCCATGGCTATCACCAGATGAGGCGATAGATTTTGATCTCCATCACCCATCACAGCTTTCCTCAATCAAGGCTTTCATGTAATACATTTGTAGCAAGGCAGAGAAAGTATAGACTGGAAGCTAGATTTCTTTGCAAGCCAAAATATTGTTGCTTTCATCCCACCAACATCAGGAGGTATATGCAGGGTATGGACAGACACTCAGGATACATTAAAATAATCTTAAAAAAAAAAAACTTGACAAGGTAGGGAATTTGATGGAAAACCAAGGAATCCCTTGGCAGGCACATTTCTATGCTCTCTTCCACACTGGGGCCCAGAGGCTTGCAGCGTGAAAAAAATGTTGTTTGGTATTAATCCTAGTGCTAGAGAGGGAGACACCACTGATATTCTGGTCTTTGGCTGGCTGGCAGCATCATTTTTAACAAGACAAGAGCAATTGCCAGCACCTGCACCACCCTTTCCTTCAACAGTTAGGTACATGAATAGTTCTCCTTTCTTAACAGTCAGAACATTTTGGAAAACTTCTCAGAACTGGATTGGTGTTGGTTTTCTTCCAAGGGGGATGATGGGACTTCATCTTTTGTGAAGCAAACAATTGCTTGTTCTGCAGCCACTCGGGGCCTCCTTATCAGGGAAATACTGCTGTCAAGGAAGGGTTATTTTTCCCTTTTAGCTTTTCAGGCTGATCTCATTCCCCTGCTTGACAGCGGTACCCCAACTGGCCTGTGTCACTTGACATTCTGCAGCTATTCACAGTCAACACAAGTCAGGTAGCCCCCTGTGTAGTTAAGGGTGGGCTAAGTCAGAGTAGTTTGTGGCGATCTAAAGTGAATTGGGTCAGGCCAGTGATAAAATCAGACCTCGTAGGACCAAGGTTATTCCCTGACTTGCTTTGGCCAGGAACCGCCACGGGCCTTCCTGGGCTGATCAGCTGGATCTCCTTCCTCTGGGCGTTGGATGTGAGGGACGTTGTCCAGGCTCAGCCTCCTTTGGCCGTATGGACTGGAACCTCAGTGGGTCAGTTCTTTTGCTGCTTTTCATTTCCCAAGCCAAACATCGCCAGGCATCTTTGTCAAAAGCACGTATTCAGCAGTTGACCCAAACGGTTTGTTATTGCTACAGGACACGAATATCCCTTCAGCATTATCCTTGGTTGCCTCCGAGGCTCCGTGGACCAGTTCCAAGGCACCAGCAATGGCATGCTGCTTCCCGATGGATATGAACCTTCACTGCTGGACCAGCTCCCCAGGGACCGGCAGTGTCAGTTCCTCCTGAAGCCTGAACCGCAGGCTCCGGTGCAGTTGCGGAGAGGTAAGAGGTCATCCTGACTTGCTGGGAGGAGCTAGAGGACACTTGGCTTGAGGTCTACTGGCATGGGGGCATGGGCCATGGAGAGATTCAGAGCCGCACTTCGCAGAGCGAAACCCTCATGCTCAACGCATTCCCACAGCCACTAAGGTCATTTTCACAACATGTACGTTATTATTTGCTGGTGGTCCCAATGGAAGCCATGGCTGGGCACATGAAGACAATCTGGAAAGCCTTCCAGACAGCCACATGGACCCTTGCATAGCTGGGCTGCCTCAACACTTTGCAGAGGGCTGTTTTGCCTAGTGGATTGTCACTAACGTCCTGTTTTGTAACTTTTCAGCCTCTTTGGCCATGCAGGCTGAGGGTAATGGGATTGTGGTCCAACCAGGTTGAGGAAGATTGTCACAATGCCTCCCCTGCTGTATTAGAGAAACATTTCTCATATGGAAATGATATTTCTTCATCAGTCAAAATCCAAGGAAAAAAAATTAGGATTCAGATTCTCGCTTGTGAATTCGAGGCTGTCAGAAGGGCAGAGCAGTCCTGTTGGCCCCATCAAAGTGTTCCAGCACTGGACCCTCCAATATTTCCCCTCTTCTAGTGCCAAATCAGCAGGCCTGATTTCTTTCTCGGGGGAGGGAGGATGGAGGGAGAGCAGAAAAAACTCCCCTTCCAGGTACAGCAAAATGTTCTTCAAGGAATAGGCTATGGGGAAACTGAGGGTTCCTTGGCTCAGTGACACTTTTGCAACCAAGTTAAGGGCCCCCTTGTTGTCTTGCTGGGATTGGGTTTGCTTTTAGAAAACGTGTTGGGGTTTGATCATGAGTTCTTTCTTATCCTTATCTTGACTGAAAAAGGCTGGTGGGAGGGAGGATGGCATGAGATCAAAGGGGGCAGAATGCTGTCGCGGTGAAGGCGCTAGGCTGGGACTGTAGGAAGTTCTGAGTTCAGGCCCCTGCCTGACAGGGCGCTTCCTGGACAATCTGGAGCCAGTTGCTATTTCTCAGTTCAGCCTAACACACAGGTTGTTATGGTGGGTAGAAAATGAGAGGAGGCCTCCATGTATGTTGCCTTGTGCTTGCAGAGATAAAAATGGGATAAAAATGTAGTAATACGTCAAATGAAATTCATCAGGCAAGGAGCCCGTCATTCAGCTCTTCATGAGCCCTGCTGAGTTGCATGAACTCTTCCTTCTTGACCAGGAGTCATCCTGAAATGCCAGAGCCATGTGACCACTTGCACCCATGATCCTTTGTGCTCTCAGCCCCCTTGCAGAAACATTCCAAGAGGAAGAAGTCTTTGATCGACTGGGCTCTTCGGCGAAGTGCCAGCACCCCAACTGGCAGTCCTGCGTCTCAGTCCCCAACCAGCCCACGAAAACTCTTTGGCCTGTCCTTGACATCAGTTTGTCCTGATGGAAGTCTCCCCAAGCCAATCATGGTGAGATGCGCTTCTTGGCTGACCTACGGACTTGCCTATTTGGACTTGGTTGGTTGTATGAAAATTCAGACCTCACCAATTTCTCTTGTCTCTTTAACGACAAATAATTTTGGCCACCTGCCATTGTGGAGGAGCAGGGGAATATGCGGGAGCAATAGTCCCGGGAAGAGGCCCACGGCCCTCCGCTGTAGTCCTAGTATGGATGGGGCTTCACTCCTGAGATTTACTCGCGGGGGGTGGGGGGCAAAGCTCCAGCTGAATAGGTGGAAGCTCTTTTCACTTGAAAGAGCAGACAGGGGGCCTCCAATCCAGATCACACCGCCATGGGAGCGGGTGCTAAGGGCTGCCTCCACTCTACTTCCCACCCTGGGTAATCTGGAAGAAGCAAATGATGGCATGAAGTTTGGCTCTTGGTTCCTCTTTTTTTCATTAGCTGGATTTCTTTGATGAAACCTTAGAGTTTTGTGACAGTAGTTTATTGTGACCGCTTAATTTGTTGGGTAAAATGCAAATGAAAGTTTATAATAATTTTTAAGAAGTAAGACACTGACGGCGTGATCTTCACCACCCACAGGATATTTTGTATCTGCTGTACCATGAAGGTCCTTCCACCAGGGGCATCTTCAGGCGCTCAGCCAATGCCAAGAATTGCAAGGAGCTGAAAGAGAAACTCAACTCAGGCAACGATGTCCAAGTGGATGGTGAATCAGTCTTTGTGGCAGCAGCGATCATTACGGTAAACTGGACCATACCTTAAGGAGCTAGAAACATTGAAGGAATTAAGAGCATTTCATCAAAGGAGTCGGTTAAGAGTGATCTGAGAATTCAGAGTTCATGGAAAACTGCTTCCCATAATTCTCTTAGCCAATGGCGACTGCAGTTTTGAATTTGTTGCAGTTAACTTCATATATATAT